CCCAGTGATGCCATCTTTTCAGATCCATCCTTCTTAGCATCCTTACTTTCATACTCATGCTCTTGTCTCCTAGTCTCAAGGCACCTATTGCACCTACAGGCCTCACATCCACATTCCGGCATGAACAAGGGGAAAAGGACAAGGTCCATGAAGGTTGGGTCCGTCCCATTTACATCATGAAAGCAAGAATTTTCCCAGAAGCAGATTCTCTTGTGGACAAAACTGGACCTTGGATTTAATAGGATTCCTGCTGAATATAAGCCAGGGTTGTCAGAAATCCTCTGGAGGACAGTTAGGATGAGGTATCAGTTTTGGTTCCCTGACCAGGAATAAGCTTCTTGGCAGCATTTCCTTTGCTACCTGTCTGATGTTCTGTTAATTACTCATGCAGGCCAAGAAGAACCCATGAGATGATTTGTGTTGTTTCCAGGTATTAGACATGTATGATATGTTGTCTGTTCTCATTGATTGTGGGTTTTTAAATTGATAATTCAGTTTAATTTTTTGAGAAGAAAGCATTAGCTCATCTTCATTTCCCTGGAGCTTAGGCTCCAATAAAGTTTGGAACCCAAGAACCAGCTGACAAAACAGGCTCCAGGCCTGTAGTTAGGGTCACAAGTCACGTGGTTCTGGCTATCTCTCCACCACTTTCAAACACTTGACCAATTCTTGAAATACAATCTGATTCCTTGGCTACAGATAGCCATTGGGCATAGAATTTAATTGAAAAACTTCGAAGAGTACCTTGTGCCATCACTGAAGACAAAAACCAGCTCAGAGTTCTTGCAGTCAGTAATCAGAGAACTATCTCCTATTAAAGCAAGAGTCAGCTTTGCAATACAATCTCTGAAAGATACATTTAAATAACAATGACCTCTTTTATATAAAGAGTTGTCTTGAGAATGAACAGTCTAGTCCTCCGCATCTCACCCCTGCACAGCCTCACCTCTGCACAGTCCTCAGGATTCCCATTATGACTCCCTCCCTTACTCCCCTCCTCCCTTCCTCCCTTCCTGCCTTTACCATCTCGTCTTTTGGAACACCTGTAAAAGGCATTGTGGGATTGCAAAAAAGAAAGCTAATAGAATCTGTTAGAAAAGTATGCATAGAACATATTTCAAAAAATAATCTAGGGCCTCCCTGATGGTGCACTGGGTTGAGCACAGCACTGTGAAGCTGTCCACAGCCTCTGCAGCACAGTTCAATTCCCAGCCTGGCCAGGGAGATACCCACATGGCACGGCAGACCTCTCCTGTCTCACCCGCTGCTCCCCTCAGCAGTGCTTTCGGTCCATTTGCCTGTTCTGCTCTCTGCTCTATCTCTGGTGAATCTTCTCATCCTCCCGCACTTTTGGCCTGTATTCCAGCTCTTGTATAAATAAAATAAATCTTTTTTAAAAAGAAAAAAAAATAATTTAAAGTGAGTCCTTTCCTTTGGAAAAGGACTTTGCTTGAAGTTATCTTCTTAGACTTGTGGCAAGCTTTTGGGCCTCAGTAGCCCTGCTTTGGCCAACCCTATTTGGCTGGGCATTTTCCCACAAAAGAATGGGTAAATTTGGAAACCATATTCTTTTTCTTTTCTTTTCTCTATTGTACACTAATTTTATTAAAGTTTTTTTTTCCTATTGGTGGTCTTACTAAGTAAGTTCTGTCTTTATGCAGTGGATGGAAGAAACTATTTTGAGCATGCATGTTTGGGTGCCCCTGGGACACCCCTTTATTCTGCCCACTAACAACAAGAGTACTGATTGCAAAGAGTATGTCGACCTGCATGCTTATTCAGACAAGGGATTTCATAAGAGAGACTGCTGTGTGCCCCCACAGCACTTGAGTACGAGCTACTGGAGCCTTCTTTCACTGGAGATCCTAAAGACATGGAGACTGACTGGAGATGGCAGGCACACCCACCATTTAGCACAGCAGTGACATGTCGTCAGAGTTCTAGGTCATTAGGAAAATGTAAATGTAAATATTGATGATTTGGCAAAAATTAAAGACTGATAAAATCTTATGCTGGCAAGAACATGGGGAAAGGCTACACATAAACATTGTATAGATGACTGCTAGGGGAGGTACCAAGTTTCCCCCTACCCCGCTTACTTAAGGGTGGGTGGAGCTGAGTGGCCAAGTGAAGTTCTATAGCACAGAAAGCAGGTGGGCTCAGGGAGAGGCACATGCAGAAGAAGGGCTCCCTTCCTTCTCCACTTTGGACTTGCTCCAGGGAATTAGGAGACTTGGAGAATATCCATGGGTGAGAGACATGGGGGAGGTTGACAAGGGCAACAGTCACCTTGATTTGTACTTTGATTTTGCTCCTTTTATCCCAGCTTTCTGCACCTGCTTCAGAACCTCTTTGGTTCTGAGCAGAAGGCACCTTAGACTTATGACAAGATGTTAGGTGTCAGTGGCCCTGTTTTGAGCCAACCCTGTTTGTCTGGGCATTCACCCATGGGGGGATGAGTAACTTTGGGCATTTTATTGAGGAACTGTTATCCTTTCTTCTCTGCTCTCTTTATGAACACTGGTCTATTTCAGTTCTTTCACACTATGAGTATGCTTTGTCTTGATGAGGTACATGGCAGAACCCATTTAGAGTCTGCAAGTTTGGAGGCCCCAGGTTACCTCTCAGAGCTAACATGACTACAAATCAAAACCTCTTATTAGAGGACCACTGGAAGTATCTTTTAATTTTATAAAACATAAGCTTTCTTACCCCCACTAATTCCTCTTCCAGTATTCTGTCTTACAGAAAAAATATGTAATCTTCCAAAGTCGTTGGGAGATGAGGAGCAGAACAGTTGGGAAACTCTGAATGTATCCAGAAAAGACCTTGAACTATGAGAGTAGCAATGAAAAATTAAAAGAAGATGGATGCTGCAGAGAAGATGGTCAGAAGAGATAGTTGATAGGTAGAATTAACTAAGCTTAGAGGCTGTCATGAATTGAATTTTGTCCCCAAAAAGATATATGGAAGTCCTAATTCCCAGTACCCAAGAACATGACCTTATTTGGAAACACACTCCTTGCAGAGCATATGTAATTATAAAAAAAAAAAAAAATCTACCCCTAAGTAACTCTTTTTGTCAAGAGATTTATTTCATGGGAGGGACTCTGAAAGGTTGAATAGAAGTTGCTTTTGATATTCATCTGTTAACTTCTCTTTGTAAAAGCCTCTCCTGGGAGACCTAATCTCCTTATCTCTTTTCCTTGGAGGAGGCAGAACTTACATTTGCATTCCTTGGTTTTCCATTTCTTCCCCCACCTCCCTCCTCTTAACTAAGCTATTGAAAATGGCCAGTTAATAATTTAGGTTGTGTCTCTCTTGTGTATAAAAGAAGTGTACATGTTATTATTAAACTTCTAATTGGCTTTTTCTCTTATCAGTCTGTATGATGCTTTTTTGATTACTTGTCAGCCTAAAGGAACTCAGAGCAGTACTGATGATTTCCTTTGCGTCCTGACATAATCTAATTAAGATGTTGTCCTATTCAAGTGGTTGGTACTAAATCCAGTATGATTGATGTCCTTATCAGAAGAGAGAAGAGACACAGAAACAGGGGCGGAAATGTGACAAAGACAAAGATTGGAGTGACGGTAGCCACAAGCCAAGATGATTCGAAATTGAGAGGCTGAAACAATTCTCTCCTGGAATCTTCGGAGAGCTTGGCCCTATTTCATTGGGTTCTCAGATTTGGAGTGCGAGGTCCTTGGGTTCACTCTGGGAAAGGTTTTACCAGAGCTCCTGTTTCAGCAGCATGAGTGAGTTTCTCCATGAGACAGAGATGAGACGGTAGTTATATTTAAATAGCTGGTTTATTAGAAAAGGGATAGGACAGTCAAAGACACTTACATAGACATAAGTGGGCAGGAAGAGCTGCCCTGACTTTCAGAAATCAGATTACTCTTTTTTTTTTTTTTAGTTTGCTGAGAGAGGCCTTCATGGTTGCAGGTGGGCAGCCTTGAGGAGAGCTGCCTCCCCTGAGGGAGGTCAGTGAAGAGAAGCCCCTAAGTAACAGGTACAGGTCACAGGCAGGCAGGAAGCTGCTGCCCTGCAGATGGAGAGGGTTGGTGAAAAGAAGCACCTGCATAGGCACAGGTGGGCAGTGGGAGTGCTGCCCCCTTGTGGGGGCAGCATTAGGTTTTATCATCTTCAGGAAGAGGCTCATCTTTTTGGGTGGATGGTTTGTGCTCCTGATACTCCCTATAGCAGTCTGATAGTTTCTGGGTGTTGTGCCTCCTGATCTGGGAGTTGATGCCTAAGGGTCTTGGTTTCTATAACTGGGTTAATGGCTTACACTAATCCCCTCTGCCCCTACCTTCCCGTGTGAGTTAGGTTCTTGACCTTGCATCTCCTTTCCTCCAACACTATTGACCTCCTGATTTTAGATTTCTTGCCTACAAATCAATTAAGAGAATATATTTCTGTTTCAAGTACTTTGAGTCAGTACTAGGAAGCTAATCCAGTGGGCAGTGGTGGAGTGCTGAAGAGGGTATGATCAAAAATAACATAGATGTCTGGCTTGGATCATGTGGTACATGCTGGGTCCTCAACTGTGATCATGCGTATAGAAAACAGGAGAAGGAGACACAGTTGGGTAGGGCCAGGGCGCTAGTGTTGAGTCCAGTGTCTGACACAGTAAGTTCTGGCCCACCTATTTGGGTATGTTTAGTCTAGGTTCAGAAAGAAAGGCGAAGGAGATGAAAAATAGCCTGAAGGTATAAATGAGTGAGTCTTAGCAGATGAGAAATTCCTGTGAATAGTGTCCATACTCAGACTGGAAAGTCTTTATTCTCTCTAAGGTGAGAAGGATGTTCTCTGGCATAGATGCTAGTCTCTCAGGAGAAAAACACCCAGAGTCAACATGGTGAGTTCTGGGAATTAGGTCCTTTTCCTACCCATCAAAGGTCTCCATTTTGAGCTGATTGGGCCCAGCATGAGTCAGACAGCATAGCACCCCAGAGCATGTGGGGGGATGCCGGAAGAGCAAAGACAGGACTTACACAGCTGGGTCCAAAGGAGGGAGCAGCCCTGGCCAGGTTGCTTAAGCCTCAGAGGTTCCATTTCTCACTATGAAACAACAGAGGGGGAAAAGGGGTATGAGCATACAGGCATATGAGAACTGAAGTAACCTCAGTCAGTTCAAGCATTTTATTTTACAGAGGAGGGAAATAAGACACTGAGAAGTTAAGTGGTTTATTCAAGGTCACGAACAATTGGGCTTCAGAGTTGGAACTGGAAAGTATTCTTTTCATTATAGCATTTCTAAGGTCTCTTTCAGCCTTTAGATCCTTCCTATGCTTATAAAAGCAATTTATAAATAGATCAGGGTACTAGAAGTTTCCAAATAGCACCCAACACCAAACATTACTATTTAAAGAGGAACTAATTGTAATTCATCAATCTCACAATTCTGAGGTCCCACATTAATTGTGTGCGTTGGAGCAGAGCTTGTACAGCAGATCATTTGAATGCAGAAAGTCAGTCAGATAGATTGCGTCTGCAGTCTTCAAGAGCATTTAAGAACACTCTCAAAATTTTTTCATTACAAATGTTTGCATGTTGGATTTTTACCAATGTTCCCTGCTACACAGCAACTGTTGGTAGAAAATTTCCCCCAATGCACCCCCCACTCCAGCTCAAAAAAGAAAATATAGTGGTGACAGCAGCCTTGTTCTAAAGTCAGTGACTGGAAATTGTGAAAAATAACAACTGACTACTTCCTGGAAGATGTGTCTGCTGAAAATGAACTGCCCTTAGGCCAAATGGAAGCAGGTTCCACAGTCTGAGCGGGACATGGCATGTCCTGACAAATGAAGAAAAGGGACTGGAGAGGCTTTGCTTCAGGGCACTCACCTGCCAGCTGCCACCACAATGTGCAATCCCAGACCAAGGCTGGGCTGCTGCTGCCAGCAGCCTGTGGGGAGCAAGCTCACTCCTTCTAGAAAGCAGGAGAGAAGAATGTAGCATTCTCCCTGTGCCCATCCTCCCCTGTCCTTTCTTACTCTTTTCTCTGCCTCAAACTATCCAATTTACCCTTCTTGCTACCACCTTTTTTTTTTTTTTGTCTTCATTCTTATTCTTCCTCCTCAGTTTCTCTTCCTACATGTGTCATATTTCCTCCTATACCAATCTTCCCTCTTAGTCCTCAGTCCTAACCCTGGTCTGCCTATTATTGGACACATGGAAATGAAGTTACTTTAAATCAAGATAAGTCAATAATTTTCACACCTTAAAAAGACTAGCCCTATCTGTGGTGAAGAGTGAGTTCTGTCCTTTCCTCTTAAAAGACTAGGATCATAAATCCCCAGCTCATGTTCCACAAAGCAGTACCATCTTGGACCCCTGATTCCCTGGATGTCCAAGTCTAAACATCAAAATCATCAGAACTTAGTAATACTAATTCCTAGCTCCATTCTTAGTTGAGATAGTAAATTAAACATATATCCGAAGTGTTTCTACTCCTAACATGCAGAATGGTAGAAATACTAGATAAAATATGTACATATATTGAAAAATACTGGATTATATGTACATTATATATGTAATAAGTCATACAACATAGTAAAATGAAATATTGAGAAAGACCTTCAAGGACATAGCTGTGAGGTGTTGAAACCAGATTTCCCTTAGGTATTAGGTGGAGATATGTGCCTCAGAATTGATATTCTAGAGCCCCTATCCTTACTCAGTAGGTGGTTGGAACTGAGCTTTCTGCATAAGACAAGAGCAAAAAAATTCAAGTGCCATTTCCAGTTACCGACCACAAAATTCTACCCAAAATTTGTAAAAGTAGCATTTCCTGCAATACCTTTGAAGCTGATCAAACTACAATTTGAATAGTGAACCCTCTCTGAAGGTTTGAGTTCAAGCAAATAACGGAGCCAAAGAATAAGAGCAGAACTACACTTGATCTTAATCAAAAGGCCAAGAAGTGATGGCTATTCCTTAAAAATTAAAAGTGGAAATACCATGTTCCAGCTATCCCACTCATGGTATTTCATTTATTGAAAATAGACAAAAACATTAATTTTTAGAGATATATGCACCTCTTGTGTTCTAGGCACCGTTATTCACCAAAGCCAAGTGTTGGAAACAACCTGTGACTGGATAAAGAAGATGTGGCACGCCGCCTCGGTTATAAAAAAGATAAGATGAAATCCTGTCATTTGCAACAACATGAATGGAACTAGAGGGTATGATGTTTAGTGAAATAAGTCAGATAGAGAAAGACGGACTCTATATGATTTCATTTACATGTGATACTCATATATGAAAACAAATGGAAAAAAATAACCTGCCCCTGTGTCTGAGTGAAGCCCCCCATCTACAAACACAGGTCCTGTTTGCCAGAATTTGAGAACCTCTGAACTTTCCATTGTAATGTCAGGCCCTGAAGGGACCTTTCAGCTCCCAACTGTTTTCAGTGATCGCCCCCTGGTGGTCATTGGCCCAGTCCACGCTCACTTCTAGCCCAGTTCTGCCACCATCTTGCCCTTTCAGCACCTGCTTTTGGACACTTTCAGTGCAGGGTCCTGGCTGTGCCAAGTCCTCTACCATTAACCAGGCCATCCCCAGTGAATGGAGACCCTGAAGTGAACTGCAACAGAATCACCTGTCCTTGAGCCCCCCATCTAGTCAAGGCTCCATTATATTCCACCCACATCCTTTAACTAGCAAATAAAACTATGTCAACAGCGATTTATGAAATCCAATTCAGATATAAAAAAATTATCATTAGAGGGGGGTTTTATTTTAATTAATTAAGGAGCACTGCCAACCTCAGTATATATTTTCTCCATCAGTCAAGAGACATTCATAATGAAGCCACCTTCAACCCTCTGAAACTCACACTTCTTGACAGACCAGGATTGACAGACCAGGAGTTATAAACCAAGTGGCCAGGATCCATGCTGATTACATCATGGCACACAAATAGATCTGACCAGATGTCACACTTCCCGTCCTGAGGTCAGCCAGCATTCTGTGGGGAAAGGCTACTGATGACTGCAGTTTCTCTGCCAGTTTTCAGGGTACCTCTGCCCCCACCTCAGGCTCTCCCACACTAGGGCATGTAAGGCAGCAGGCAAGGGAAAAACATCAACTCTTCCCAATACTGAACAGCCCTGTAGAAGGAAACATGTAGTTCACAAGGAAAAAAAAAAAAAAAAGCCCACACAATCATTGAACCAGGAGGGCCCTGCAGTGTGATAAGCTCATATGCCCCACCAAGGCTGAAGACTTTTTCTTATTCTGTTCTGGCTCTTAGGCACAGTGAGAAGAGGAGGAGAAGGGAGGAGAGTTGGGGGGAAAGAGAAAAGGGAAAAGAGGGGAGGGGAGAGGATATCCCTATCTCCTGCCACCTGACCAAAATAAAACCACTCAGGCATTTCCTTGCAAACTGCAGATTGCAAAAAGAACAAATTCAAAAATTGCACCAGGGAACATTAGTTGTCACGCCACTTCATGTGCTCTCTGTGAATCTGTAACCCAGTACAAATCCCATAATCTTAGCACTTCATCTTCCTTAGCAATACCCAGAGACATAAAATGTGTGTACAGACCACTGGGGAGTCCATGAAATGAGCTCTGAGCACAGGCTGTTCTGACAGAGTCTAAGAAATACCTAAGTGGGGGTATTAAGGGGACAGTGAGTGGAGAATGTGTGATGGAGCAGACCTGCACATTAATAACACAGCTACATGAAACACACCAAACCTTTTTCAAAAGAGGATGAGAAGGAAAAGGAGGAGAAGAGGAAAAGAAAGGAAGAGGGAAAGGAATGTAAATGAAGAAGGCAAGGAAGCCTGCCCCCAACACGAGTTGCCCACACAGGCATCGCACACACCCTGCCCGCTATTGCTGCAGACCCTCTGTCTGGTTTGCTAATGTTTTCAAAATCATCAGCCTTCACCTCTTCAACTTTGGAAATCAGATGTCACCAGGATGGAAAGACAAACTGATACAGGGCAGCTGGGGGCACTAAAACTGGCCAAGGGCACTGCCCAAATAGTTTACCAGTCACTGTCAGAGTTCTTCACCTGCACATAATTGCAAGACTACTCAGTCTCAAAGAACAACAACAAAGGCATTTATTAACAAACCATGGAAAATCAAAGCGTTACTGAGGCCAAAAATGTCCTTTTACCTCACCCAAAGCCCTGTCCAGTGTTTCATTCCTAAAGAAAAGCAGTTAAAATGGCATCTTCCCGCCATTGAGGACACAGAGCTCCTCTTCCGAACAATAGGCCACGTGTCCAAGATGGCATCTTCCTGCCACTGTGGACACGCAGCAGCCAGAATATGGGTCAGGTTCCAACTCATGAAGACAGCAGAAGACACAACAGGAGATGCTCCATGAGCTGCCGAGATGCCCCAGCACAACACCAGACAAGCAACACTCAAAACAGCAGCTACAGCAGTTAATGACACAACAACCACACTTACGCATCTCAGTAAGACGCCTGGCTCTGGGTCTTCGCCTTTTCCACCAGGCCCCAACAGCAGCAAAACCGGGAACAGTTTCAGTTGCTTGGCTACTTGCAAAGTCTGTCTGAACTCTTCCACTTTCAGAACAACCTCCTGAAAGATCAACGAGGTGGGGGCCCAATTCCGCTGCCCCTTATGCTGAATCCCTAAATGCTGAATGACTCTCCGTGCCCCCTTCTGGTCACTTATGTTATTAGTTGCTCCACCCCACTTTTTAGCATTTTCTCTGGGGCTATCTATCCTCACCAGCAACCCCCTCCAGGGTACACCACCTGTAACAGTCTTTTGGCTTCAGCCACCAGTTAGAAAACAATTAGGTTCCAACACCATGAAACTCTGAACATCAAAGAAGGAGGGAGCTGCAGGCCAAGAAGCTGCAGGAAGCAACTCATAACATCCTTCATGTTCAGGAGGATTTGGGGTTAACTAGTGCATTGCAGCATCCTGTTTCCCAGTTGTTCAACATTAATAAACTAAGTCCCTCCTCCTCCTCCCCATCCAGCCAAGGGTACCCCCAGCAGCCTCTCGTGATGGTATTTTCCACCCAGCATAACAGTGGAGTGGGCTCTGAGCCGAGTGAGTCTGAAATAACTGTTAAAATCAAATAGGATTTAGGAACGATGTGCCCCAAAGTACAGTTCGAATGTATATCATTTCAGAGCTCAAATAGTAGGTGGTTGCTGTGGAAATATTTTCATTTTAAAATTCTGTGCTAACATTTTTAAGGTAAATCCTGCTGGAGAGACATAACAGTTGGCAAAATTACACAATCAAGGACCTGAGAAGTTATTAAAAGAAAGGAAGATTTTGCACAAAATATATGTTTTCTAGGATGTGATTATTTAATCCAGGAAAGGTACATTCAGTTAAAAACCAGGTCAAAAATAAACACCCAGGGCCTCCCTGGTGGCCTAAGGGGTTAAGCACAGCACTATGAAGCAATCCGAAGTCTCTTCAGCACAAATTCAATCCCGGGCCAGCCAGGGAGCAACCCACCTACCCACCTGGCGCAGCAGACTTCTGCTGACTCGCCCCCTGCTCCCCTCAGCAGTGTATTTTACTCAGTCTGCCTGTTCTGCTCCCCACTCTTTCTCTGGTGAATCCTCTCACCCCCCGCATCTCTGGCCTGTACCCCAGCTCTTGTATGCATAAATAAATAAATCTTTAAAAAAAAAAAAAAGAATAAACACCCAAGTGGGGACACTCCATACTATAGAGTAAGTGTCCATCAGGTCAACTATGAGAAATTTCTGAAGGGAAGGAAATGAGGCTTTGAAGCAAAGAGCTCTGCTAAAGACAGTGCTTATCCAGATTGAAGAAGAGATGTCCAGCCCCAGGATGCACTGCTTCAGCTATGCTCCCTCCAAGGGCCTGGCTTCTTTAAGGAAATGTGCTCAACCTAGTTCTCTCAGTTACCTCAGGCTGGGCAAAGATATACATATAAAAAAGTGTTTCAAAGCAATCCTCTTTCATGAGCACCAGTAAATTCACCACTTCCCGAAGAATAGAATCATCCCCTAGAAAAGGACAACACAATCACATATTTTATTAACATTTTCTCCATGCTCATAAATACATTTCTTGTTCTCCAACCCCAATCTGTCTTTCTCACCAGTCAACAAAATCTTGTTCTACTTCAGACCTTTCTGACATTTTCTTAGGTGGGGGAATACCACCTCATGATCATTTCTACCTTGCTTTTTATATTTTATTTATATTATCTATGCTTTATTCATTTTTTCACTCACCCTCTCTTAACAGCTGTATAAAATGATGGATTTAGAATCCGCTTTTCCTTTCATGCTTAGCGGTGCCATCCTGTGATTACAATGGGCTTGCAAGGCACTTTCATTTGATCTTGAAACTATAACATGTTAAAAAGTAAACCCTTGATGGAATCCTGGTTCTAAGTTACTACTGTACAGATTCCTTCATTCTAGATACACATTCTTGGGGGAAAATGTGAAAAATAGCCACTTTCATTTACACTTATGACCTGATGGTCCTGTGTTCTGTTCACCTTCTCATGACAGACTAAAGAAAGGTAGAATGGCAGAGTTTCTGTGAGTTTGATTCCTTTAGGGGATTATTGTCTTTTTCACAGACTTTCTAAAAGCGATTTTAACTGTGTCATCCCCACAGAAAGGGGAGGTTCCAGGTTCCCTGCCCCACCTGTTGAAGGATGGTACAGAGCAGGGCCTCACAGTTGGGATCCTAAATGGGTATTGGCCAGTTTTACTGTTGAACAAAAGGGGCAGGAATTTAGACTGGGATAATGAGATTTGGCCAATTTTGTTTATCAAAAGCACCTGACCTCTAACCTCCTGTTCATTAAATAAGTTAGAAGTTTTACAACTATCAGCATCTGGTGTGAGATAATAGTTTGAGTAAAACTAATAGAGCCTGAGTCACTTAGTCCTGAAATGTGCACAGCTGTTTTGCAGAAATACTGGATGGGGGAAGTAGGAGTCTGCAACCATTGGGCTAAATTCCTCTTCCACCTCACCTAGAGACCCTAAGTCTCTTTTCTTTGTGTAGTCTGCTTTTCCACAATTTATCACCCTTTTTTTTTTAAGTCTTTTTTTTTTTTTAAGATTATTTTTATTTATTTATACAAGCACTGGGTACAGTCAGAAGCGCGGGAGGGTGAGAGAATTCACCAGAGCCAGAGCGGGGAGCAGAGCAGGCAGACTGAAGTACACTGCTGAGGGGAGCAGTGGGCAGCAGGAGAGGTCTGCGCGCCATGTGGGACCCTCCTCAGGTGGCCGGGGAGCAGCCGGGGATTGAACCGGCGCTGCAGAGGCTGCAGGCAGCTTCGCAACCCAGTGCTCAACCGCTGCGCCACCGGGGAGGCCCATTATCACCCTTTTTTTAACATAGTACATAAGCCCCCACATTCTATCAGCTTCTTTGAGTTTTCAGTTCTTTCTCTGGAGCCCCCTGTGCATGTAAAATTTGAAATAAAATGTATCTTTTCTCTTGTTAAGTTATAGGTCCTAGAAACAGGACCCAGGAAGGCAGAGGAAAGGCTTTTCCTCCCTTAAAGAAATAAGACCAAAAAGCATGTTCATCTAATTTTTGATTCTCAGTTATGAATAAAATTTATGCCATGATAAGAGAACTAACACTGGAATAAAAAAAAAAAGTGGCGGATGGCTTCTGGATTCTTTTTTTAAGATTTATTTTATTTGTTTATGCATACAAAAGCTGGGGTGCAGGCCAGAGGCGGGGGAGTGAAAGGGATTCACCAGAGACAGAGTAGGGAGCAAAACAGGTGGATCTTCTGAAATAAACTGCTGAGGAGAGCAGTGGGGTGAGACAGGAGAGGTCTGCCGTGCCATGTGGGTACCTCCTTGGCCAAGAATAGAGCTCAGTGCTGCAGGGGTTGTCGATAGCTTCATAGTGTTGACACTTATCCCCTTGCACCACCAGGGAGGCCTGGCTTCTGGATTTTAATGTAAAAGTAGAAGTAGTGATATGTCCAAGTACTGACCTCAGGGACTTCACTAGGCCATGATGTCACCTTGTAGAGGCAGGACGGGCCACAGGGCAGGTTTTCTATGATCCCAGCAGACAGGGTAAGGGAGGAGTCAGAGTCCTAGAGACCTCAGTGGCTTTTGCAGGCTTTTATTGGGATTTACCAGGTACAGGGCAGGCAGGGGTGCTGGGGGGCCGGGAAGCTGGCAGGCCTCCCAGCCCCCAGCAAGTCTTCACTCTATCTGGGCTCTCCAGCGTTCTCTCTGCTTCTCTAGTGGTTCTGCTTCTCCTTCTCCTTCTCTTGGCTTCTGCTGGCGTTCCGTGATGCTGCCCTTAAAAGCCCAGTCTTAACCCAGGTGAATCCCATCTACATATGCCCACACCCTATTCCAGGTGCCCGCCATCAGGCATGCTTTCGGGACCACAGGGTTCTGTCATCTATCCTAATGGCAGGAGGGCTGAAAAGCTGATACTTTTACCTGACCTTACACACCTCCTCACTAAATGATGAGTTATTGATTGACTGCTTTAGTGAGTTTAATCTGGAATGCTTGAGTCAGTATAATTCTGATTTAAAAGTTCTACAATTACATTAGTCTATGCTCCCAATTCAACTTTTTTTCATTTTAGATTGATTCACTGGTATCTACTCTCTCAAGTTTTCAACCAGAAAGTGTTCGTGTCCTTTGATCTAAGTGATGAATTACAGAAATGCTATGAGTCATTCTAGGAGGGGTTATCAGACAAGGATGATACCACCAGCTTTCAGCTACACAATGGAGCAAGGCCCCCGGGAGTGTTACTCAGGTTGTGACATTCAGCAAACTTTCTGAATACAAAGCACTTGAACTTGGGCTAGCCTAGGCCACACCATCAGCCTGATGGTAAGAGGTCCCTGACTCCATTCCCCGCCACTTAAGCTACAACCCTTGGCTGAGAAACAAGCACTGCCATCGTATTTTGCATTGTCTAATGAGCCTGGACATCTGGCTTTTCTGCATTATTGTTTGTGGGATGCATGGGCCTACTCAGAAATCAGTGAAACTAACATAATTATTACAATTTGCTTTCCCCCTCATTGTAAACAAGTCTCCCCAGGACTCAGAATTGTTCATATAGACATATAGTTATTTTTGTTTTTATTGAATTCAGGACAGCACACATCTCCTCTAATGAAGGCACTGATCTAGGATCTGTAGGTATAAAAGAAATCCTGGCATGCATCTAATATAAAAAAAATATTCTCTGACCTCAAGAGCTTGCACTCTTTAGAGAAGGGAATCGTGTCAGAAGGAATTTCCAAAGCGCTGCATGAGAAACCTAAAGTGACACTTACCCATGTTTCATACAAAAATCATTACAAAAAGAAAAATGACAAACAGAATGGATCATCTTAAGGTCCAGAGTTTGAAAATTAAATGTCTTCAGTATGGCTGACCTTGAAGATAAGGGAAGAGATAAAAAGCAACTTCTCGCTACCAAGATTGAAATTTTTTTTTTCCAAAATATGTCCAGAAAAAGGGAGGTGATTTTTTTCTAAAAGCCTTACATAATTTTAATTTTCTAAACTTCCCCCACCCCTGTCCCTTATTCCTTTCTCTCTCCCTTTCCTTCTTACACTCAGAATCTTGACTTCCAGTATTAACGTATACTCTAATTTTT